CTTTCTGTAAAGAAAAGTGAAATGCACTTCTCATCAATTTAAGAGGAGCCTGTGGCAGCATTTAAGAAAATTAATTGAAAGTTGTTCTGTTCTGAGGAGCCAGCCTAAAGCATAGATCCTCCTACACACGTTTACATTTCTAAAAGCTGCCTTCCAGAGAAGCAAGTACTTCTCTGAAATGCTGCAATCCAACTGGTTCATCCCCTGGGCTTTTGCTGTTGGCAGAGCAACCAGGAGCAGTGAGGGACTGGCCATACTTGAGAACACTCCAGCATTACGGCTTGGTACTTATTGTAAGACTTCTCCTTTTATCCCAAGGAGTGATTGGTGGTTGAAGTGTGTGACATCTTGTTGCTGAGAGCAAGGGGACGAAAGCTGTGACTGGGCTATGTTTTCATGCAGACTATGCCAAGAACGCATGAAATGAGAAATCAGATTGGTGCACTGACTAAACTCTATAGGTCTAGAGAGAGCTCCTCCTTGAAGAACAGTAGGAAAGTGAGCAAAGTAAGAGTCAAAGAAATTGAGCAGCCTTGAAATTGCTCCACACTCCCCTTCATGTTCCTGGGGCTAAGGACACTACATTTACACCGAGAGGTGTTCTCTCTAAAAGGAAACTAAATGGGGCATGAACAGCAATTCAAGTCCCTGGGGAAATATAAGAAAACTAAATCAGATGGAGCATGTAGGAAAGAATTGTCAAAACCATCCCAGGTGATAGAGTTATGGGAGAACAAGGAAGGACATAGACAAATGTGGGAAGGAGAAGTAGATGCTGAGTGCTGTGAAGCCTCCTGTGTCAATCCAGTTGGCACCAAGGGCTTCCTGACCTTCGCAGGAAGGGAGAAACCTGTTGGAGAGATTGGTGCTTGCTTTTCCCCAGGATCTTCAGAAACCAAAGCTGAAAAGGATCTAGCTAGTTAAAAATGACAAGTAATTCTGATTATTTACTAAACAAAGCACCTAGCCCAGGATTTGCATGTGCCAGGTGAAGAAACAGATCAATATATTTTCTGGTTACTGAAGAAATGTTAGGTGATGTTACACTGGCCATGGCCAGCCAAAAAATGCTTACCTTCTGCAGTCATTCCTGGTTTATAAAAACTATAAGCACTATTTTATGAACCAGACAGAGATCTCCGTTAAGGACTTCCTACTCATATGCTATCCAGAAATTTTATATCCAGAAATTGTGATGAGTGCATCATTTCGTAGGCAGGACCATGAGTGAATCAAAACACTGTAAGAAATATATTAGATACTATTAGATTTTTAGATATTTTAGATAATTAGATTAGATATTAGATAAGAAATATAAGAAACACTATAAAAAACTGTAAGAAATAAATTATTTTGTGGTGAATTTTCTCTTTTTAGTGGATTATTTCAAGATCCACGTCTCATGTAAGTACCACCTGCTTTTTGGCCTTTACAAGTGGTGCAGATTTTCCAATAAATTCAGCTGTGAGTATTATAGCTCAGTAAAAGAATACTTCCTGGGGAATGTGAAATCCAGAAAGCAGATGACAGTAGATAATCTGTTTCAAGGGAAGAGCATCACTAAATCCCAAGGGATACCACTAATTATACCTTTGGAAGAGAAGAATGCAAGTAAGAAAAACAGCTAGGCCCTCCTTGTGAGGCTACTCAGAACATTTTGAAGAAAACTGCCTATAATTGAAAGAGACATGAGAGAATAAGCATGAAAAAGAGTGTCCTGTAGGTGAAAGCAAGCAGGTGCAAAAAGTGAGAGCAGCAAATCCCTCTTCCCCTTCTCTGCTTCTCCATCTGCAAGTAAGTTAAATTGTTTAGAAGGAAATAATGGACGTGATGAATTAAAATTGAGGTAACAAAGAACAGAAGAGCAGCGCGTGGAATTGCAAAGAGAATAAATGAAAAATACAGCCCACTCCCACTGTGTGAAGATCAAGATCCGTCATCTAATTGCACGTTCCATGATGTGTAATGCTGAGTATCGGAGATGGCCTTCCCAGTTTTTATCCTTGTAGTTATGTTCGGAGCTGATAGCAAGCTGGGAAATCTCTCTTAAAAAAAGAAACAAAACCAACCCCTCACCATTTTGTATGAAAGGCAGTGACACAGTGGCACTGTGCAGCTTTGTGATTCTCCTTCTGTATAATGGCTGTAGGCGGTATTCGATGAAGCCTTCTCCAGAAGATTTTCCAGATTGATTTTTTTTCTGTTCCCACAGAAAAACAAGTGAAGTGAAGTGAAAAACAAACAAACAGAAATCATTAAACAGTTACATTTGACAAGAGGGAAAAAAAATAAAATAGAAGGTGTTTTGGGGAGCTTTTCATTCCTGGGTTACCTTGGCTATGGTCTGAAAGCAGGTAGCTATTCAAACTCAGGGCAAGAGGCACTCAAAAACCAGGAAGGAAGCTCTTGTATTGCTCTTTTTAGGAAAAGAGAGGAAAAGATGCAAGAAAGGCTGAGAGTGTGTATGATCCCTGCAGGACAAAGATCTTGTCTCAGTCAACATTTACTCTCTGAATGAAGGAGATGAAATCATCCCAGTTGTACACAGTGCCCTGTCTCTTCTTTATACCCTTTTCTAGAGGTGCAGTGCGAGGTGTTTCAACCTGCAATGGTGGTATTAAATTACAGAGTACAAGGATTTTCCTATGCTTCCTTCTCTGATAGAGAACAGTAGGCCTCCAAGTAGATTACAGCAGCATGTATGCGCTCTTCACTATCCTCACCTAACATTTCTAGCATGGAAGAGCGGGAATCATTTTGACTGTGTTCCTTTTCCCATGTGGTCAATGCAGAATTTCTGCCAATGCAGAAATGCCAGCCCAACAAGCATTTGGTTTGGTTGAATGTAGAAGGGGCTCAAAATTACCAATCCTCATGTTTACAGTGATGGGCTTTGTTAAATATTTATATCCAAGATGCTGACCTCCTCCAGGAAAAAAAAAAATAATCAGCTGTCACTGTGATTATTGGGGGATTATGGCCTTTAACTGACAATTTGTCTAAGCAAATTTAGCAGTAAAGTTTTTTATGCTTTTCATTAAAAAGTGGCAAGTGAAGGATGATAAAGTCCTGCAGAAGTTCTCCTTAGCTTTGTTCTCTCATTGCACAGTTCTGCAAATTGCAGCAAACCACTCGCATGGAGCCCTCAAACCACAGGGCTCACGTAGGTCATGTTCTCTTCTTGCCTTGTCTAGGATAGCTGCTGGATTCAAAGTCACAGGAGCATGGTTAGAAGAAAACAGCCTTATGTTTACCATAAATCTGTGAACCAAATATCCTGTCAACTATGTATTATGCAGGTCTTGTATCACTTTTTAATTATGTTTGAACATGCAGTGCGGTGCCTTGCTACTTCTCTGTTGCTGCAGCTGTCTTGAAGGCAGAATTCAGTCCAGCGTGATTTCTTTATAGGTGCATTGCTCATTTCGAAGAGGAGAGAGCAAAGGTAGTTTTCAGACAAGTTTCTCAAGTACGTGTTGACTACAAATATTCTAAGCAAGTTTGTGCAGCTAGTAATCCATTTCTCACAAACGCCATTTCCATAAATACCAAAGTATGATGTCCTTGAAAAGATGTCCGTAAGGCAGCATGATCTATATTTCAGTGGATGCAAGAATCATGGAATGGTTTGGTTTGCAGGCAACATTAAAGTTCTTCTACTTCCACCTCTTCTGCCATCAGCAGGGACACCTTTCACTAAGTGATGTTGCTTGAATCCTCTTCCAACCTGGTCTTGTGCACTTCCAGGAATGGAAGCGTTCACCTTCTAGACTATGATTGTAACTGTACAACACTGGCAGCCTTGGAGTTTAGATAAAAAGAATATGTCAGAAGATGACTTTCTCAGAAGCCCAAGGATTATGTATTTAGTCCCTGCCAAATGTCTGTGAGATTTTGTGTATGCTCAGGTGCCCTTCAAAAAAACCCCACATCTCTGTTTAAGTATTTCCCATAATTGCTGCTGCCCACATCCAGCCAGCCACTGATGCACTCTCTTGCACATTGCCATGTCTATTGCAGCTGATCTCCAGACTTCATATGGAAGGAACATGCTGAGAACGGGTTGAAATAGTTTGGAATATACACTGAGACATGTAATTAGATTGAACCAGACTAGGCAATAGGAACAGCTTCTAAATGAAGACTGACTGCTGTCTGCAATGAGTGCAAACTGCAAGAGGAAGGGTTAAGAAAATTGAATTTGGAAGTAATGGGGTAATAGGCAAATATATTCAGAATTAATGTATTCATATAAATATTGTACAGTAATTTATTTGCCAAATAGCAGTCATTTACTCTGTGGCAGAGGTCAAATAACGGAGAAAATTTATTTGTGAATAAATTATTCAACAATTAACACAAAATGTAGCTGCTAAATTATTCATGGACACAAATTCAACCAGTTCTAATTCATTTCCACTTTGAAAGTGTTTTTAGATACATCCATATGAGGATTTCAGCGGGGATCACGAGTGCACTTCTGAATGTCTTCCAGTTGCCCTATTCTTGCAGCTCTAGCTTGTGTCATTGTATGGCGGGATCTGGGGGTTAGGAGGTGCCCTGTCTCACCCACTCCAGTGTGCTGAGCTCAGGTGGTGGGAAGAGGATTTAATCTGAGCAGCAGCCACTGCGTGGAGCAGTGCTGTGATAGCAGTCCGTGGCTCCTGAAGCAGGCAGAGGACATTACTCCTATGCCTGCACACTGCAGATTGCTGAATGTCTTCCACCGAGGCCTTTGTGGAGCCTGATGACCTCTCTTACATGAATCCGTAAGGTGCTTGTTCTTGCCTAGAAGATACAAATAACCTAATGCATTTCTGAGTCGTTTCCCCCAGCATTGACTAACTTGGCATTGAAAAAGAAATCTGCACGTTATTCTTAAGTTGCATTTCCTTTCAGGAGCAGCTTCAGTGGAAGTCGCTGTACCACTTCCCACCAACCAAAGGCTTTCCCAGTGAACCAAATCCCCACTTCTCACAGATCTTAATATTCTTTTGCAGTTCAACAGGTGGTTCAACCTCTTGTCAGCTTCAGCCTGCCAGATTGCTTCTCAGTTCCTGAAGTCCATGGTCCTCCTTCATTGGATGCGTTAGAAGAAAAGGTAAGCAGTCCTTCATGTGGTGTTAAGTGACTGGTTGACTTACAGCATAAACCTGGAGCAGGGGCACTCTGTCTACTCATAAGTCTCTTCTTTTTGTCTAAGGGAGGGAATCCCTCATAGCCAGTCCCTCATACAGGGCCCCTCAGCGTTGGGGTGATTCTGAGGGGACTGGTGGAGAAATGCATGTCTGCAGGGCTGAGGGGAAGGTGGGGATGCCAGTCACGTTAATGGGAGTAGGTGAAGGAGGTAAGAATTACACTTGTATTAGGGAGATTAAGACATGTCAGCAAAGACAACTTAAAAAATATAATTTTCCAGTTAATTACAGTTTAAAGTAACAAGAAGCAATGCGTGCTTCCAGAGGTAGAATCTGAAGGCAGGGAAACACAAAAGACCAAAGTCATGTATTTATTATGTACTTCAAGGCCTCGTACACTTCAGCAGCCTGTATTGCATTGCTGCCAACTTTCCTTCCTTCAGAATCTCCTTCCTAATAAGTACCCAGGCCTTCTGAATCTGAATCTGTGGTTATTGTCCAGATTTTCTTTTGGGAGATGCTATACCACTTTGTGTGGTATAGTGGGAGACTTGCCTGAAGTGCATGAACATTTTTCTTCTTGTCTCTATTTCAAGGCCATGCTCTTTTAAAATAGCTGCTATCTTTCAATATTCCTTAATACATATTTTAAAAATTTCTACCATATATCATAACTGAAATTTGGAACAGGTCACTTGTTCCATTGGCACAGTTTCATGTTCCCTCTAAACTAGAATCTCCAAATTTTGCAGTATTCACTTATGCCTTCATTATGTGTCACTGAAGGATAGTGAACACGCAGATGCCTCAGTGGTTGACCCAGAAGCCTTGCAAAATAATCGTGAAAATTAACCAGTCCAAGCAGAAAATCTATTCTTGCCCTTACCACGGTTGTATTGGTATTAATCAGGGGAAAAAAGAAGCTATTAACTGTCTCACAAAGGGTATGAAATAAATGATTCATTTCCAGTGAGAGAGATGCTGGTGTTTTTGCTAGAAATGTGTGTGTTTTTCCTCTGAAGAACCACAGTATATGCTGCTGCACAGACCCTGTTCCCTGCCCACAGGGCTGAGGTGAAGCTTTTCAGCAGGAGAGCCTCAGGACAGGGTCTCATTGATCAATAGCACAGCAGCAGCAACACTGGCTCACAATGTGCTGCTTCATTTGATGCAACTTTTGTGTGAAAAAGCTGTGTTTGGCTTTGTAGTATTTCATGCTGCATCTTTCAGTGATTTTCCAGCACTAAATCTGCTTTTGTGTTGCAGGTACCAAGAGTAACTGCTGAAGTCTCCAGTGCTACAGCAACGAAAGAACAAAATTGGGTGCCTGGAGGAAAAATAATTTGGTTCAACTGAGCTCTGTCTGAAAAGCAGGTTACCGTGGCTTAATGAATTATCCTGAGTTTGCAGAACAACGCGTTCTCTTACCAGAAAGGTAAGATAAAGCTACGTTAAAACAAAACAACAACAACAACAAAATATTCCATTAATGTTTAAAACAGCTAACCTGGTGTTTGCAACATCTTGAGTGCATGCCTGGCTGCAGTCAGTGGCTGCCTGCCTGGTGCTGTCGAGAGATGGCAGTGTTTCTGTGCAGAGGCAGTGTTTCTATTGCTGGCTCTTCATTTACCACAGCGTCTGACAGAAGGGCGTTCTGACTACACAGAAATATACTTTTTATAATCACCTCTAAGAATATTATGACAGACGATTAATAATCTGACAGCAAAGTAACTATTTTTAATGGCTTTAACTGAACACTTTATTTCATCTTTGAACCGATTCTCACTGTAATCCCATTACTGCAATAGAAGTTTGGGTAGCAAGATCATACTGGCCTTACTATGCCTGAGGTGCCTTGATGAGACCTGTACTGGCAGGAGCAATATGTTCAGCACTGACACAAAAGCCTCAGGGTAGAAGTGACTTGCTAGAAGTCTTTGGAATGTATTTCAGGTGGTTCAAAATGTACTTTTACCTTTGCTGCTGAAATTTGATAAATGCAGCAGCAATTAAGTTACGAGACTTAATTAGCCTTGGAGCAATATCTGTTTGGTTTTGGGTGGTAGCTTTTGTCATAGGTGTGAGGTTATGCACCTGGTTTCTCCTATGAGGACAGGCTGAGGGAGTTGGGCTTGTTCAGCCTGGAGAAGAGAAGGCTGCGGGGTGACCTCATTGCAGCCTATCAATACCTGAAGGGAACCTACACCCAGGAGGGGAGTAAACTCTTCAGAAGGGCTGACAACAGCAGGACTAGGGGAAATGGATCCAAGTTGAAGGAGGAAAGATTTAGGTTGGATGTTAGGGGGAAGTTCTTCACAAGGAGAGTGGTTAGGCCCTGGAACGGGCTGCCCAGGGAGGTTGTGGATGCCCCGTCCTTGGCCGTGTTCAAGGCCAGGTTGGACGGGGTCCTGGGCAACCTGATCTGAATGTGTGTGTTTGGTGGCCCTGCTAGGCAGGGGGGGTTGGAACTACATGAGCCTTGAGGTCCCTTCCAACCCTGGTGATTCTGTGATTCTGTGGTTTTTAAATGGGGACACAGGAGCACGTGGTTTACTCCAGTTCTGGTTTTCCTGCATAAAATTTGACGTAGGTTCTGCTGAACTGAGTTTAAATAGTTTGCATGGTGAACTTAGAGCATTTCCAAACAACTTTTGTGAGCCTTGTACATGATTTTGCATAGACAGAAACAGATGATTGGTACATGAGCATCTTTGGTGAGGCGTATTCTACTTGTCTGATTCATTGGTATAGGCTTTCTTACTTTTGGCTTCCACCTATTGCAGTTCTCATTTGGGAATCTAAAACCTGCTGTTAGAAAAGTCCAGGGGAAGCTGGTATTCTCATCTTTAGGTACAGCTTCTGAAATATCATAAACAAAATCACTCCTTGGCTGTATAAACCTGTGTACCTTCCAGCTAAAACTGTAGCACTTCAGCAAGATGCCCAACTGTACAATAAGTTGTTCCTTCCTGTAGTATGTCAGCATAGAACGTGTGTATTTGAAGGGAGGGTTAATGGAATATTTGAAATGATCATTGGTAAATGTTACATTGTACGTATCTTAAATCCAGAGTGTGACAGGTAACTGCAGCTGGCTGTGATTCAGGTAAGGAACATGAATGATTCACGAGGTTGGTGGAAGTGGAGTAGGTAATTCTTTCATCTTGATCATTTTCTCCCTGAAGCCAAATATCTCGCATATGGTGACAGCTTTGTAAAATATCATGATGGCCAGTAAGAACAGGGGAGCGTAGAAAGACAACTGCTAAAACAGGTTTGATTTGGATATAAGAGGAGCCCGTCTCTCTTTGTCTCACTTTTTTTTTTTTCCTTCTATTCTTTTGCTGGCTTTCTTACCAGGCATGCAGGGAATTGTTCGGAAGGAAAAGTGCCTGGCCTGGAATGCTAATACCTCTGCTTTGATAAGTGTGAGAGATGTTTTAATTAGGAAGAGGATGCAAAGACTTAGAAGAATGTAGTTACTCATGTAATTTGAAAGCCCTGGAAACAGTCCTGAGGGGCAATAGCCTGAGGAACAATTACAGTTTATTTCAGTTTATTATGTAGCCAGCTGTAGCTTGTATGTGCATTTCTGAGGTGGCTTGATAGGAAAATACCTGTGTGATTCTGTTTCAGTTGGCTTTTTTCCAGACAGAAGAGCCCTAAATTGCACTTAGCATGTTGTTAACTGCTTCCACTCTGAACCTTCTCAATTGCTTTAACAAGGTAGATAAAGAACATGTTTTCAACCTGAGCCAAACCCATAATCTAGCAGCCGTGAGCTGCAGTCCATGCAGGAATCCCAGTGGTTAGCTGGAGGAGAAGGGATGGCTTGTCATGGCGCTGGACATCAGTACAATCTGTGGCTGGAAGCTGAACCTTGCTTTAAAAACTTCTCAATTCCAAACCTGGCCATACCTGCCCACCAGGGGCTTGCCGTCATGTCAAGAGCGAAGGACAGTTTCTGTGCCTGCCCTAGCATAAATGGTGTCATTGGTTAAAGGTCTTGAGATCAGAAACGTCTTGTGATCTACCCAAAATTGTTTGATAGGGTCCTGTAACTTAGAATTGACCTCCGTACCTGTCTCTCCTTTCTTTTTTTTCCTCTCTTCCTAAGTTACCCCTACTTTGTTTTCTTCCTTTTCCTTTCTTGTCCCCTATTTTCTTTAGATCTAATTGCAGGTCATCTGCACAGTGCTTTCCCCAGCTCATCTCTGCATCAGAAAGAGGAGTTTCATGAGCCAGCACAAGGAATGCATTGTTGCCTTCCTTCTTGCCTGCAGTGAGCTCCTCAATACCATGATGAACTACTTGTATTAAACAAGAGAAGGAGAATTTTGAGACAATAAATAAATCATCTCCCTGCAGAGCAAGCTGGTAAATGAGAACAGGGTAAGCTTGAAGCACTTCCAACCTCAGGAGCCACCGCGTGCATAAGGATTTGATCCAACCCCGCTGAAGTCAGTGAAAAGAATCCTGCAGGCTTCTGGGGGCTTTGGAGGGGGATTTGTGATTTCTGGGGAAATGCGAGCTGTCTGTATCCATCTTCCCCCAGCTGCCTCTGTGCAAGAGCTGAGCAAATCTCCCATGGTCTGGTTTCACTCCGATCCCCAAACGGAATTGTGATCCTGTGATGCTAGGGCAAGTGGCAAGCTGGGTGGATGTTTGCAAATACCACTAACAGCACATGTCTCTCTTTCAAAATGTTTAGTGGCAATATTTCTTTTTCTTTTCCTTTTTTTTCTTTAGAAAAGTAGATATAAAATTGGAGATCTGAAATATTTGCTTTTTGCTGCTTCTTAAACTTCACTTTTTGGCAATTTACATTTGAGAATTACTCTCAGTGACAACGCTTCAATCATTTATTACATTTACTGTAATTATCAGCTTTGTGAGCATGCAATCCACAGTTCTGCACCTATCCTGCAAGATGATGGTCGTGTGATCTATAGAGATGATCAGAAACTTGGGTTTTGCTTCCCACAGGAAAAAAAGTAGCAGAGACATTTTGAGAGCTTGGGCCTTTACAGTTGCTTTATCTTCTTTATTGTCTCTGGTCCCAGAACCTTGCATACTGGGAAGAAAGCAGACCTTACTGGAGACAAAGCAGTGTTTCTCAGCAAACCCATTTGCAAGAAAGCTCAAAAGCAATTACACAAAGTAAACAAGAAAGGATGTTGTAGATCTTGTCCCTTTTTCTAGCTGGGTACTAAATGCAGAGCTGATGGGATTATTTGATTTCACCCTTCCAAATCCTACTGTGTGCTATCTTTTCAGAATGACTTTTATGTAATCTTTAGTGTGCATAAATACATGTTAACAAAAGTGATGCAATGAAAGCAAAATGGTGAGCATCAAAAGCAAAACATTATCATGCAAACATCACTATTTCTTTTCTCCTGCAAAGGCTAAGCTCATTGGTTTGCATACTGCAGGAATTTATTGCGATCTTTCTCCAGAGTGCAGATCCACACAAAAATCTAATGTGGTATAAAAGCTGAACACATATTATTGGTTCAAAGGAATGACAAAAGCTTTGTGTGGTTCTGATCGTAATTTTCACCTGATCTACTTGCGTTTGTTCTCTTGATTTCTATGAGGTTTTAACAGAGCAAACTGAAGAGGTTCCTTTCTTTCAGAGCTCCACCTCTGTTTTCTTCTATGTGTTTGTCCTTGGGAGTCTTGCAGTTAACATATACCATAAATTTCCCCACCCTGTAATAAAATGCATGCCCTGTATTAGTGGCCAGGATGAGAACTTCCATCAAAGCTTCCTAGGGAACAAGACATCAGTCTTTCTGCTTCCTTCAGAGGTGTTCCTAGCAATCACCAGCTGGAGGAGGAAATGCAAAGAACTGTGCAGCAACCATAACGCCTCTTCCTTTCACTACAGCTGCTATGCAGAGGGGCTGCAGTCTTGCATTTACATACCAGATGGTGCCATGGCTTCTGTCCTCTTTAACACTCTGGAGTAACTCCTCGTTACCACTTGGGAAGGAAGTACACAGCATCCTTTAGAATCAAATATACAAGAAGAAATCAAGTAGGAGCCTCTCAATTCTGTGTGCAAAGGAAAGAAGAAGTACTCCAGGAATTTAAAAAAGGGGTTAGAAATGCTGTTTCAGTCAGTCAAGTGCTCTGCGGGTGGAATCAGCACACCACTTGTTACTGTGTGCAGCTTCTGTCTGTCACTGGCACTGTGACAGTAGGCATGCAAGTGTTTCTTCCTACCTAGTGTTAGGAGACCAGCCCTGGCCCCACCTTCCTTATCCGACTGAGACGAGGCCAAAACATTCACTTAGGGAGTGAGAACATCAACTTTCATGTAAAAGTGGAGGTAACGGTGCCTCAGATGGATTAGGTTCTTGCATTCCTGATTGTGAATTTGCTTTTATGTTTGCGGAATGTTATTGAGGTTTAAAGGCTTGAAAA